CAGTGCTTTCCCAAAAAATCAATAAAATGAAAAATATACGAAATAATATACATGCACTGATTTCTGTCGAAAATCGACAACTATGAAACTATCATCCCTTCCCCGACACAAACGGTATATTGTGAGACAGGAAATTGTAGAGAGAAACAAGCCCTATAACATAGGATACAACATTTTAATAAACAGTGCTTTCCATAACATCAATAAAATGAAAAATATACGAAATAATATACATGTACTGATTTCTTTCGAAAATCGACAACTATGAAATTATGAACCCTTCCCGGACACAAACGGTACATTGTGAGACAGGAAATTGTAGAGAGAAACAAGCCCTATAACATAGGATACAACATTTTAATGAACAGTGCTTTCCCAAAAAATCAATAAAATGAAAAATATACGAAATAATATACATGCACTGATTTCTGTAAAATCGACAACTATGAAACTGTGATCCCTTCCCCGACACAAACGGTATATTGTGAGACAGGAAATGTAGAGAGAAACAAGCCCTATAACATAGGATACAACATTTTAATGAACAGCGCTTTCCCAAAAAATCAATAAAATGAAAAATATACGAAATAATATACATGTACTGATTTATTTCGAAAATCGACAACTATGAAACTATAAACTATGATCCGTCCCCGACACAAACGGTACCTACATTAGTACATTGTGAGCCAGGAAATTGTAGAGCTAAACAAGCCCTATAACATAGGATAGAACATTTTAATGAACAGTGCTTTCCATAAAATCAATAAAATGAGAAATATACGAAATAATATACATGCACTGATTTCTGTCGAAAATCGACAACTATGAAACTATGATCCCTTCCCCGACACAAACGGTATATTGTGAGACAGGAAATTGTAGAGCGAAACAAGCCCTATAACATAGGATAGAACATTTTAATGAACAGTGCTTTCCCAAAAAATCAATAAAATGAAAAATATACGAAATAATATACATGCACTGATTTCTGTAAAATCGACAACTATGAAACTGTGATCCCTTCCCCGACACAAACGGTATATTGTGAGACAGGAAATGTAGAGAGAAACAAGCCCTATAACATAGGATACAACATTTTAATGAACAGCGCTTTGCATAAAATGAATAAAATGAAAAATAAATAGATGAGATCAATGTGTTGCCGGCAGATTGCCCTAGACTTGTTTATTCGGTGCGGCCAACGCAAAAAAGACAAGCAAACTTTATCCTATGATGTATGTTTAAGTATTTGTTTATTAACAAGAAAGCGTATCGGTTTTTTGTTACTAAGTACTGATTGACACTTCGATTTTGCGCCCCCAAAATGTTGCGCCTCGCACGCTCGCCAGGAACGGCCCTGTCTGTTGATGATGCTGGTTAGCAAAACGCGGATCTATCAAAGTAAAGTGTTTTGGTTTTTGATGTATTGTGGTGAATTAGTTTTTTATTTTGCTGATGTTGTTCTAACCCCCAACAGTAATTAACTTTAGGACCGAAGAAACATGCATTCTTTATAAAAAAGATAAACTTGTTTAAAATGGTTAATTCAAAGAAAAGTATAAAAATATGGTTGATTTTTTCCTAAAAATCAAAACGCTTTTCTATGGTAATGTCAATTCGTTCTTATTAGTGTTGGTGTTGTGATTGTTGTAACGACCAACAACTCCATAAGACAAGAAAATGTTGTGTAATAAACAATGATTATGAATATAATCAATCTCTCTCAAACGACAATAAATAATAATTGGGGGGTAAGATAAGTAAGACAACAATAACTTGTTAAAATTTATTATGGTACGTTAATTAACAAAAATAAACATACTTGGGTATATACCGGGTCCGGGTATATAGTATTTACCCAAATTGAAACTACCCTGTATTTACCCGGGTGCCGGGTGCATCTCAATACTCATAGACATACCGGGTGCGTCTCAAAAGTGGCTCACCCCTAAAACTTTTTTATTTTTTCAGATAAACAAACGAGATCTGGTATGTTAGTATATGACATAAATTAGGATTGATTGACGTATTTAATTGATTCTCGTCACTTCTTGTTTCACCGGAAATTACTACAACTTTTGATTTTTAAATAGCACCCTCGGTATTTTTTTACTTTATTCGATAGAAAATGACATTCTGAATAGAATGACGACTGTATAGATATGTCAACTTTTGACATTCTCTCTTAATAAAAAATGGTATTTTAAAATTCAATCTAGAGTGCCATGGCTATGTTAAAAACACTAAATATTAATCAAGGAGCCTTGGAAAAATAGATCTGATCGTCTAATGTTTTTAGTGTCTTGTCCTGGCCAGTTAGAAAATGCTCAAATCGTATTTTTAAACATATCCCAATTTTTTCAAATAGAATGAGGGTGGCTCATTAGCATATTTGGAAAAAGCATTTTTTTACGAATAATTTGATACCACACACTTGGTATTTCGAGTCAAATTTATGACATATGATATGTCATTCTATTCAGAGTGTTATTTTCTATCGAATAAAATAAAAAAATACCAAGGGTGCCATTTAAAAATCAAAAGTAATAGTCATTTCCGGTGAAAGAAGAAGTGACCGAAAACAATTGAATACGTCAATCAATCCTAATTTATGTCATATACTAACATACCAAATCTCGATTTTTAACTGAAAAAATATAAAAGTTATAGGGGTGAGCTACTTTTGAGACGCACCCGATATACCGGATGCAAAACATCGGGTAATTACCCAATTTCAATATACCGGGTGTTTGCCTATCTCTGGCCCCAATATATTCAAAAAAAAATATAAATGATATAAACTAGCTTTTATTTCGTATTTAATACTAACAAGATGTGGAATGACTTTTATATCAATCACAAAATCTATATTTATTTTTTATACTGCTCTACACGTCACGGATTTAATCAATTGATGGTACATTCTAGTTGTAGTGAATAAGAACCCCACCACAATTATTATTATGCTCTGCCGAATAGTTGCCGAATATTGGGTATTCTGTACAATAGATCCACCGAATATTAGGTATATTCGGCTATTCGGCAAATCCGATATTCGGTACATCTCTAATGAAAACCAATTGACATTTACCATAATACCATCTATACCAACCCGGTTTTGATTTTTAGGACCCGATATGTATCTCTAAAACGGTAAGAAAAATTGGAAAAGTATAAATAAGGGGATTATTATTACAGACAGGCAAAAAGGTTATAAAGAATGCATTTTGCTCAAAATGTTCGTAATAAAAATATGTTTTCCTTTGTAAAAACGATCCGGGAACGTACTGTTATGCTGTAGATAGATAGGTACATTTTCTTTCAGCTCTAAATGAATATAGTTACATAAAAATTTGATGAAATAATTATTAAATTTAGAGAAACGTTTTTTTGATTGCGGAAGAATTATTATAAAAAATTAAATAAGTAGGTACCTATACTTTTCCAAACTCATTATCAATTTATTTTAAATAGCTGTGTATAATAAGAATTCCACATTATTGTGTACACCCATACTGGTAATACGGTATGTACTTATAGATTATTTAGCATTTATATTTTTGTTTAATTCTCCTAATGAACAAATCGCATATTATTATTATCGGAGAAAGTATTTGTTTAATTTACCAAAACGTCTAATTTCTTTAGCGTTGGACGAATTGCTAACGTTTCGTTTACAAATAATGTGGGAAAATTTCACTACAATAATTAAAAGTCTTTTGTGTTTATCATCCGGTTAAAACCGGGAGTTCCCACACTCTCATTTTAATTAAACTATTTGTAATAGATTGTGGTACTTAGACACGTTATAGGTACATAAAATAAGAATATCCTCTCAGTTTACTTATTTCTCTGAAGGTACCTCTTATACAGGATGGGTCTTAAATAACTGCAGACCTTTTTAGACCATTATTTCGACTTTAGACACGTGTAAGAATTTTTTTGCCAAAAAATACATTAACAATGTCTATATTTATTTATTAACAATGTATTTTTTTATTTTTCTGTTCAATTTATAAAAATGTGACAACATGGGTAGTAAATAAAATTTCCAGAAATAAAAGAGAAAAAAAAAATCGGTGGCTCTCAAAATTTAAAAATATGAAAGTATACAGGGTGAGTCTTAAATAAGTTCAAATATATTTTAGGGCTGGTAGATCTCGATAAAAGAAACATGATATCTTTACCGTTTTCCAAATAAGTCCAAAATAACGACCGAGATATTTTAACTTTGAAAATAAAAAAAAAATGAATTTTCGCTTACATTTTGAGTCGGATTTTTTTGGCTTTTCTTTCTTGTAAATTTAATCTATCGCTTATGTTGCCATAATGCCATATTATGAAGATATTATGATTTTTAATTAAAAATTAAATATCGTTTCCATATTATGATTTTTAATTAATTATTAAACATATTATGATTTTTAATTAAAAATTAAATAGATTTTTTTACAAAAAATTTTTCTTTAAAAATTCCAAATTTTCAAATAAAATTTTTGGCGAAAAAAAAATTACAATTTGGAATTTTAGAAAAAAAAATTTAAATTTATTAATTTTAAGTTAAAAAACATATTATCTCGATAATATGGCAACATAAGTAGTAGATTAAATTTACAAGAAATAAAACCCAGAAAAGATTCATTGGTTCTCAAAATTTAAGCAAAAAATATTTTTTTTGGAAATTTTCAAAGTAAAATAACTCGGTTATTTTGGACTTATTTCAAAAACGGTAAAAAGAAAATATGTTTCTTTTATCAAGATCTAAATACCAGCCCTAAAAATATTTGCACTTATTTATGACTCACCCCGTATATATATTTTTTTGAATATTTTTTTAATTTTAAATTTTAAATACTTCGGCCACATTGGACTTACTAATTCGAAAAACCGCAGAGAAAAAATATGTTTCTTTTATCAAGATTTACCAGCCCTAAAAATCTTTGCATATATTCTTATTTCAGATTCAGAATGTTTATTTAATTTTTTTAGTTACTTACCCAATAATCCACGCTCATATAAATTACTAGACCCGCCTCTGGAAACGTTAAAATTGTCACAGCAAACATCCAGCCAATCAGACAAAACATATTTTTCTGAAACATCGACAAATATAATCATAAAAATAAAATTTTATTAAAAAACAGTTTTAGAAAGCAAGTTTTTTAATAATGTGTCAATGAAAAGCAGACTTTAAGTACCGTATGATCGAAAAAAAAACGGTGTCCAGTTAGCTTGGAAATGACGATCAATGACATTTCCCATATAATTTTACATATAAAATGACAGCGATCTTCATTTCATAGCCATCGCTGACGCCGTTTTTATTCGATCATACGGTATTAAAATGTTTATATATTTCATATCAATTAAACTTTTAGTTACGTAAGCGAAGGCGCGATTTTTAAATTCAATGTTGCCTACCATGGACATATTCGGCGCTGTGTTGACTAACTGGAGTTTAAATTTCGCGCTAGGAATTCAGGTTGTAGCTCTGCTGTAAAAAATGTCAAGTTGCCGCATTTATTTATTTATTTCCTGACATTGTCATTCGTTTTGACACTTCAGTTTGGTATTTTATTATGAGTTTTTGGTTTAAATAAAGAGTGTTTATGGAGTGTTGTGATACTTTAAACTTGAAAATGTTTACTAGCAGACCTTGCAGTCGAACACTGTTCTTTTAGAACCTCTTTTAGTGCGAAGTGTACAAGATAGCTTATTAATAGCCATAAAAACTCATCGCAAGTTTATTAGAATATTTCGAACGGGAAAGCGGTAGTAACGGCCCTATATGTCCATTAAGTGCTGTTAAGACGGTGAGTTTTGTTGATGTAAATAATAACTGTTTATTTATTTATAATTAATTTATTTTTGTTTCCTAAATATTTTGACGAAAAGAAAATATATAAAAGTGGGACGCTGTGCCAGTCAAGCTTAATCACGTGACTAAAAGTTTATTTGGTATGAACTGTACCTATTTTAGTTTTAGGCTCCAACTATCGATGTTTTACCAAGTTGGTACATCCCTACACTTGAACGAAAATAAAATGGTTCGTTTTTTTTTAATTTAAACTTACTGTGGCCAATCCATGCAAAAGCAGTGCGGCAAACAAGCTCATTACAAAATATCCGATGGCTAGTAATACTGCCGCAGTAGGTAGAACATTGGCAGCTTCCAAGATGATCCATATCAGCTCAAACGCAAATGCAATCAAGTAGGCTATCTGGAAAAAAATACACCAAAAAAAGTTTAATATTTTCAAAGCGACCTATACTATTTTCTAAATATCATTTTCATTTTCATTGGTCTGTATGTTCTTATTACGAGTTTTAAATTATATTCAGTGAAACCTGAACAATCTGAAAACAGGCAAGGACATATTTTTTAATGTTGTCGTTAAGGTATTTAATTAGTTTCTCAGTTCAGCTTGCTGCAGGACTTTTTTGTTTAGTTGTATTGACCTCAAGGAAACAAATAGCCTCGAATTTATTAATGCAGTTATTTATTAAAATACCTAATAGAATAATTTATTTCAAAAACGCACGCGCTTTATTATTTTTTGAATTATTTAATTAAATTTACAACCCTATTTAAATAAAATTAAAATTAATTTTAATTTTATTTAAATAGGGTTGAAGGGATTAGAGAGTTAAAAAATTACCAGTAAATAGGCAGCAAAAAATCCGCACGCAATGGGCAAACTGCAGCAAAAGCATTTCTCGATGAATGCCATTGTTTTAAAGCGAACATTTAAATTTGCAATTTCTCCAAAGGTGTACGGACATCGTCAACTTCTTATCCTCCGATTTACACATACACAAAACCACATAATCACTAATCCGCTATTTTTGTTCACTAATAACTATGCACAATTGCCTTATAACGCGTCGAGTTGTTTCAAAACTATTTAGCTCATAAAATAAAATATTGTATTTGGTGGGCGAGGCTTACAGACGGTGTGAGTAATACCGTCGTAAGTTATTCGCAATTATTTGAATATTCTATTCACGTGCGTATTATTTTACTTTCTCTTTGCTTCACCTTCCATCAAAGATTTTTAAACAATTATTCTTAAGAACAATCCAACGAATGAATGAGTATGCAACCCATAATATACTAGCTTGTATTTCTGGTGATCTAACTGAAGCATCTTGCAATGTTGCCACCTCTCTCAAATTGTCCGATTTTTTTATATTTTGTCTCACTTAATTTCCAATAATTCTAGAAAACAAATATATTTAGAAGAAAAATAGAAGTGGGTATTAAATTCATATTTCAATATTTTTACTTAAATAAAACATAGCAAAACGAAATAAATACATAAATAAATATCGAGCAGTTAATGAGTTATTTTATGGCAAAAAAGTTAAACATTGTTAAACATTTGACAACGTCCATTTCACACGTCAATAATTTATTGTGCAACCAGAGAAGGTGTATTTTTTTAGGTTTTAAAGAAAATTTAATTAAATAAACAGGTAAAAATTGCAAAATATTATTAAAGCAATCAGTAATCTTCATATGACCCTCCTCCTTAAGGTTTTTCGAAAAACAATCATTTTTCAAATAACCAAAGTGTTGTAAATTGTTGGGTTAGAAAATGTTGATTACATAAACGCTGTATGTAATATATTTTTTAATTGTAAAGATTATTAATTTGTAGTAACTCTTGTCGAATATTATTATTTTGTATTTAAAATTTAAATCTCTTTAATTATAGAGATGGCCGATAAAGTGGAGGCACCTAGAAGACCGATGAAATTCCCCTACACCTTTAGTGCAAAGTTAGCCCAGTTCCCATATAAATATTATTTCCAAAATCAAATCATTTTCAGATACTATCTTGTCGGCGTCCTTGTGAGTTTTCCAGTTTTTATGAAGTTCAGCAAACTTGGTATGATTATCTTGCCACATTAATTAATGTTTATTTTATATTAATATACCATATGATCGAAAAAAAAAACGGCGTCAGCCATGGCTATGAAATGAACATCGCTGTCATTTTATATGTAAAATTATATGGGGAAAATCATCGATCGTCATTTCCAAGCCAACTGGACGCCGTTTTTTTTCGATCATACGGTATTACTTATATTAAGTCTAGTTTCATTCCATTTCTAATGGTGACTAATTCTTATGTAATTTTTAGCCAACTCACCTGAAAATGTAGCTGCTTGGGCTGAAAAGAAGAGGAAGGAAGCAGCTGAACACCACCATTAAGCTGTAAAGAAGTATAGTCAATAAGTCGTAAATCTAATTATTATACATGTTGTTCTACACCACTTGAAGCATTTTGCAAATATATTATAGTCAACAATTGGCAGTTTATTTCTGTTTCCACAGTAACTTATTTTTCTTTAGCTTGAATAATATTTTTATAGTTATTTGTTATTCACTCTCCTATTTGGCTATTTTGTACCAATATATTGTTTGTAACAGTGTTCCTAGTATATTGTTATTGATATGAGGTAACAATTCGAGATTTAAAAACAAGATTTAATAATTGTTTAAAAATCGTTTAATATATATTTCAGTAGAGTACAAAAGTAGCCTAGTTCATATATTTTCTTCTTTATTGTATATAGATAGATAGTAGAGATGTTATGTTATCGAGTAAAGTTAAAAAATACTTTAAGTATAATTAACCGTAAGTAAAATAATTAGCCTGAACCCAACTGAACCTTTTAAATAAATTTTAATTTGAAGATTTAAATGTGGTTACCAAAGAAAAACGGTTACTATCACTTTCCACAGATTTTATATACTAGACCCTGACTAGACCTGACACCGACTAGATTTTTTTTTATCCTCGTTAATGCTATTGCTTAATGTACCTATTCTCTGGCAAGCTATTGCTCAAGACAACGACAGATACACATGGATATTGGATACACACCTCACTTCAGTTATTCACTTTAGTCTGTGACCACTAGTGACCAGTCTGTGACTTTAGTTATTCTATGCCTCCTTCACCTTTATAAATTGATAAAAAATGCGCGCCAAATATTCTAACCTACAATAGATTTCAAAAATACTACATTGTTAAAGAGGCTTTTTATTTTTTGTTCTTCAAGTGAGAAATAAAAAAAAATGACGACTATTATACAAAAAACAAATGACCACAATAACCCTTCCAAAGTAATAAGAATTGAATGTCCTTTAAGGGTGCGTAAATTTAGTTTTGAGGGCTTTGAGAAAAATGAAATCCAGAAGCCTGAAGAAAAATGTAACTATCCTTGTTATTTTGTATTTGTTCCTTGAATAAATTAATCACATTGTTATAATTCAATATCACTTTGTATTGCTACATCTAACTAATGTGGATTATTTACTGTTATACTGATTTATGATAATAAACTTTTTGTTATTGCATAATTATTAGCTCTTATAAAAGGGTCATGTGCTTTACTTTGATAAATAACTACGTAATTCCATAAAAAGGAATCCCATCTTAATATATTTTTAAGTAAGAAAATAACGGAATTATTTTTCATTATTTATTATTTTAAAAGAAAATATTATGTTACACATTTAACTAAGCATTAAGATAATTCAAGAGACAAAGTTTCTTTGTTCAAAACAAAATATAGAAGAACATACTGTAGTTATCAAATCATTTTATTATTAGGAAAGTGACCTGTTGGCCTTTAGTTTTGATATATTTCTACAAAAACAAGTTGAAGCTTTGTAATATATTCTTTTAGGTATGGTATCAGAAATGGCAGCGGTACGAGGACAAGTGCTTTCAGGAAACCAGGTTGCCAGGTATTTATTAGGAAATATATCTTTAAAACTATAATTTCTTACCCATATTTTTTTCCAAAGTGAAATAAAAAGCAGATTAACAAATGAAGTGGCTTCATTTAACAGGAGGATTCCTGGTTTTCAGCCAGGACTTGCTATAGTCCAGGTTGGAGGCAGGGAAGACTCAAATGTTTATATTAGAATGAAAGTTCAGGCAGCATCTGAAGTAGGCATTAAGGCTGAACATATTAGACTACCTAGGACTATAACTCAGATAGAGGTATTTTTGTTATTGTCTCCTAAAATTGTCCTTAAAAAGTTCCTAGCGGGAAAATTTTGGGGTATGTAAGATTTCTTCTATTCTTGTTGTTTCATCCATTCTATGTTTTTTGGGGCGGAGAATTCGAAACTGAGGTTTGCCGACAAAATTTCACGTCGGAAAAAAATTGCTTAAAATTTTTAAAAAACTATTTTTTAGTTAATTTTTTCTGAACTCCTAATTTTCGTAAACAATAAATAATCTTCCTATTCAAAAAACCATGTTTTTTTTAAGTTTTTATATTTTAGAAACAGTATAGACTCAAAAGCCACTTGAAAATTGGCATTTTTCGGTTGACTCTGCTAAAACCGAGTTATTCTACTACTACAAAACTCTTAGTTTATTATTAAATGCTTACATTTCAATGCTTACAACATTATTTTCTAATAATAAGTTGAATGAATACAAGTACTCGTAGATATACCGCGTGCGTCTCAAAAGTGGCTCACTCTCTGTGGCTCACCCCTATAACTTTTTTATTTTTTTAGATAAAACAAATGAAATTTATTATGTTAGTATTTGACAAATTAGGATTGATTGACGTATTTAATTGTTTTTGGTCACCGTTTCACCGGAAATGACTACAACTTTTGATTTCTTAATAAAATTTTTAATTACTTTATTCAATAGAAAATGACACTCTGAATATAATGACATATTATGTCAATTTTTTACATTTCCGCTTAAAAACAAATCGTATTAATTTCAATCTGAGTGCCATGGCTGTGTTAAAAATACTAATTTTTAATCAAGGAGCCTTGGAAAAATATATTTGACGGTATAATATTTTTCATGTCTTATCCTTGCCGGATAAAATATGCCCAAATCGTATTTTTAATCATATCACAATTTTTTCAAATGGAACAAGGGTATATATATATATATATATGTATATATATATACCCTTGTTCCATTGTATATAATATTGTGTCACTATAATAAGTGGTACCACACACTTAGTATTTCGAGTCAAATTGTTTATTTTATCAGAAATATTTATTAGAATTTATTTATATTACCAAAAAAAACTTGTAAGTCCCCATCAATTATTAATACGTAAGAATAGCGCGGAAATACCGGGTGGGCGTCTCAAAAGTGGCTCACCCCTCTATAACTTTTTTATTTTTTCTGATAAAAAAAAACAAGATTTGGTTAGTATAAAATTAGGATTGATTGACGTTATCAATTGTTTTCTGGGACTTCCTGATTCACCGGAAATTACTACAACTTTTGATTTATAAATGGCACCCTCGGTGTTTTTTACTTTAATGTGTTTTTTTTAATTGGATTAGGATCGAAAGAAATCAACAGAAGTCCTTTGTTTTAAATTTGTCGACGTTTCGCAAAATTTATTTGCATCTTGGACAATTTAAATCTGGACTTTCTGAGAGAGGGGAGGACTTTCTGAAAGAGGGGAGTGGTATATATCCCTTTTTTTCTTTTAAAACACATAACACACATTAAAAAAAAACATAACATAGATATTAGGTATAGAGAAATATCACGAAAATCTTTTCTTTTCACAGACAAGCAGTGCAGATATACCTACGTTGACCGTATACAGAGAGCAACTTTTTTTTACTTTATTCGATAGAAAGACACTGAATAGAATGACCATAGAGTTAAAAATTAAAAAGAATGACATATCATGTCAGCTTTTGACATTTTCGCTTTAAAAAAATCGTATTTTAAATTTCAACCTGAAGTGCTACGACTGTGTTAAAAATACTAATTTTTAATCAAGGAACCTTGAAAAAATAGATTTGATCGTCTAATGTTTTTCGTATCTTTTCCTGGCCGTTTAAAAAATGTTCAAATCGTATTTTTAATAATATCGCTCCTTAGCATATTTGGAAAAGTATTTCTTTACGAATAATTTGGTACCACACACCAGTGGCGGATCTAGGATTCTGGAAGGGGGGGGGGGCTAGACTCAAAACTTTACTCAAAGTACATCCTCCAGAGTCGTTTGTGACAAAATAAATTAATAATATCTAGTTAAGCTTTACTGAACTTGAGCACCCGAAGCCCCTCTGTGGATCCACCACTCCCACACATGGTATTTCGAGTCAAATTGTCGTTACATTTATGGCCATGGCACTGATTAAAATTTAAAATGCTATTTTTTAATCGAAAATGTAAAAAATTGACATATTTATCATATGCCATTCTATTCAGAATGTCATTTTCTATCAAATAAAGTGAAAAAATACCAAGGGTGTCATTTAAAAATCAAAAGTTGTAGTCATTTCCGGTGAAACAGGAAGTGATCGAAAAGAATTAAATACGTCAATCAATCCTAATTTATGTCATATATTAAAATACCAGATTTGGATTTTTATCTGAAAAAATAAAAAGGCTATAGGGGTGAGCCCAGGGGGTAAGTAGATGACCAATTTCTGTACACCAAAAGGCAATGAATGCCTCTATTACTCGAATATTGCCCCGCAATGCCCCTGTTCTACTCAATCATGCCCGACAATGCCCCACATTGCTCAACAATGCCCCGTATTGCCCAATAATGCCTCGTATTGTCCAACAATGCCCCGTATTGCCCAACATTGCCTGGCAATGCCCCTAATGCAATATATATATCTACCTCTTTTCATTGCATGTGGTGAAAAGAGACAAATAATATTAAAAAGGGCAAACACTTTTTTATAGCTCCTACATAGTTCTTATGTATTTTATTGTCATAATAAATTACCTAAAGGCACAAAAACCATAATATTTATATTTTTTATTAAAAAACTACACATAACAGAAATATAAAAAATAAACTCGCTTTCGTAAAAACAACTTAGGACTAATAACAGACGAACAGTTTATATTTATAGGTAGGTATAGAAACTGCAGACAGGCAACTTTTCCCTAATTTAACCGATCGTATAGCTCTTTCCATTTTGGACATAGCAATGGTGGTATCGCTTAAAATGATCTCCCATATATATACTGCGACAATAACTACACACTCCGAAACAATAAATAAGCTGGCTGGAGCTAGAGCGTTGACCCGTTGCGCTGACGACTGCAAGCCCTTTGAGTGTTGGTGACGTAATCAAAGTGATGGTGGGAGGATGCACGCGCAATATATTTAGCATAAATATTGCACCACATTGCCCTTTCAATGCCTCATATTGCCCAACAATGCCTCACAATATCTTGTATTTCCCAACAAAGCCTCATAATACCCCCGCAATGGCCCACAATGCCCCGCAATACCCGACAATGCCCAATGCCCCGCAATGCCTGACATTGCCCCGCACTGCCCGACAATACCCCTAGGTTGTACACCACATTGCCTCATGTACTTACCCCCTGGCTGAGCCACTTTTGAGACGCACCCGGTATTAAATTACCCTAAAATTTTCCCATTTAGAATATAATTTAACCAGAGTAGTATTAATGTTAAGGTGTGCACAGACCTGATAGGACGAGTGCGCGAGACCACCGCGAGACCAGCGCGAGATTGCTTCTATCAATTTTTTAAGAGAGACCTGCCACGAGCCAAGCAAGCTATGTATAGCATGCATTGATACCTGGCTGTCGAGCGAGCCTACCACAAACACGTCCAGAATGTGCCGCGAGCTTTACCGACAAAGGCCGGATAGCAACGAGACTCCCTGGTTTGACTCGCGAAACCCGTCTACACTTAACAAATTTGGACTGTCTCGCGCTCGTCTCGCTCTCGTCCTCGACTCATCATGTCATGTCTGCACGTACCTTAGAAGGTTTATTATTTTCTTATCTTCAGTTGTTAAATGAATTAGAAAAACTTAATGCGGATTATCGTATTCATGGCATTATTGTTCAAATGCCATTGGATTCAGACAATAAAATTGATTCTCATGTGATCACAGATGCAGTGTCCCCTTCCAAAGATGTTGATGGGTATAAAAATATATATTAAAAAAATGTTATAATCCAATTAACAATCCTAATACCTAGATTAAATACAATCAATGAAGGGCGATTGGCTATAGGTGATCTACAAGGTTTTCTACCATGTACGCCTGTAGGCGTCTTGGAACTCATCAAGAAAACCAACATACCTCTTGACGGTGCTGAAGCTGTAGTTTTGGGGCGCAGCAAGATTGTGGGAACTCCAATTTCTGAGCTGCTGAAGTGGCATAATGCCACTGTGACAATTTGTCACTCAAAAACACGACTTTTGAAAGAAAAGGTTGTATTAATGTAATTTTTTTTTGAAATTTAAAATTTTGGGTGTTGTTTCTCATAAATTGTAGTGCCAAAAAGCTGATATTTTGGTTGTGGCCATTGGGAGGCCGGAGTTTGTCAAAGGCGACTGGATAAAGCCAGGCGCGGTTGTTATCGACTGTGGAATTAATGCTTTGCCAGGTAGGTAATTCAAATCTTATTTATACATATATTAGATATATTTCTTTATTAAGAGTTGGATTATTTATAATGCAAGGATTATATTCAGGAAGTAGTATATTTTTAATTTCAGATGCCAAAAATTATACACTATGTCCCGGATTTTTTGTCCCGGAAAACCTTTTTTATTATTAACATTTTGAGAAAAATGCATTCTTCATAAAAAAGTTTGCTTGTACTAAAATTGTTAATCCCGGTTATAGGTTAGGTTAGGTTGCTGGGGTTTGGGATCTCGTTTGATTCCTCACTCGGAGGCCTTGGGCTCATTGCGATACTCCTGTATTGTTGTACCAAACTTTCCTCTCATTTTTTCTTTGCGTTAAAGCACTTCCAGCTCTTTGCAAAGTACCCGATGTCGCTGATGGCTTCTGCTGCTTCCTCTAGTCCTTCCAAAAAACCTTGCCCTGGTGGCACAGCAGGCGCTGTATGGTTTCTTCTTCCTCTCCGCATTCTCTGCAGTAGTCGTCGTTGGAAATTTTCCATCTCACGAGGTTTACTGCCGTGGGACAATTTCCAGTGACGACACCTACAATTATGCGTACTAGGTTCTTTTTGTGTTCTTGTAGTTGTTTTGTCTCTTTGCTATCTACCAGTGGCCATAGTCTTCGAGCTGTAGCGCAGTCCTCACGGTGTTGCCACGTCTCTTGCTCTTGGCCTTGATGGCAGTTCCTATAGCTTCCTTCAGTGTGTTAATCGTCACAAGTGGTGGGTCATCTGCCACGGCCTCTCCCCTGGCTTTTTCTTTGGTGAGTCTGTCTGCTTCCTGATTGCTCACCACATTGCTGTGGCCTGGCACCCAGCACAGAGTAGCCCCGCCGCGCCGCGCCGTAATGCATCCAGGACAGTGCTTCTCGGCATTCCATCACATTTTTCGATCTCACTGATTGCATGGTGATGCTTCTTAAAGCGCCCAAGCTGTCAGAGCATATCACGATATCCCCTATTGTTCTATCAGCAATTTTCTCTCGTATACAACTAGCCGCTTCTTTTATGGCGTAAACCTCTGCTTGTAGAACATTACAGCCATCCGATAGCCTGGAGAAAATGCCTATACCTGTGCCTCCTGACATTGCGGAAGCATCTGTGTAGACTGCTATCTCTTGAGTGTTCATTACTCGGTTGCTTTCCCATTCTTCTCTTGTCGGGATACGAATCCTTATCTTTTCTCCAAAATCATGTTTGGTGAGCATATAGTCCGTTTTCTGATCTAGCAGATGTAGACTCGTGTTCGGTTTTGTCTGGGTTGATGCCCAAACCATTCCTTTTTGCCCATTCCGTTAGCTTCTTCAGAGCAGATTCCATGATGTCACTGATCGTCTGCAAGTCTTTGCCAACGATCAATATTACCACGTCGTCTGCATATGCCTTTATCCTAATTCCCTTCAGAGAGGTCAGTATCGGGTTCATTACACTCAGCTACAGCAGAGGTGATAATACCCCTCGTGTGTGTGTGTGGTGTGCCTCTTGTTGCGCACTTTTTGGCTGAGCTGTTTCCCATCTCCGATGTGATAGTCGTGTTCTCTAGCATTTCTAAGACCCAGTTGATGGTTAACTGCTCTACCTATAGGTTCCTCCATGGCTTTTTTGATCGCCTCTGTCTTTACATTATTGAAAGCACCTTCTATGTCTAAGAAAGCCACTAATGTGTATTCCTTATCCCTGAGGGATTTTTCAATTGTACCTACGACCGAATGCAGAGCACTTTCGACTGACTTACCTTTAAGGTATGCGTGTTACGCAGCACATTGCTTCTCAATACCGGTTATACTTTTCCAAATTTTGAGAACGTTTTAGAGGAAATTCAAAAAATAAAAAACAGCAAAATAAAAACACTAAATCACCACAATCATCTGCTGATGATGCTAACATGGTTAGCGAAACGCGCGTCCAGTGTAAAAGTAAAAGTGTTTTGGTGTATTGTGGTGATTTAGTGTTTTTATTTTGCTGTGTAACACCAAAGGTTCCAACCCTTGTAACACAACTTGTAATGAAATTGAAAAAAAAACATAAAAACATGGTTAAATTTTGGTGTCTTTTCCTAGGTTAGAACCTTTGGTGTTACACAGCAAAATAAAACACTAAATCGCCACAATACACCAAAACACTTTTACTTTTACACTGGCTGCGCGATTCACTAACCATGTTATCATCATCTGCTTAATCATCTGCTGATGATGCCAACATAGTTAGCGAAACGTGCGTCCAGTGTAAAAGTAAAAGTGTTTTGGTGTATTGTGGTAAAAAATGTTACGTTAATCAAAATTATTAATAACAATAGATGGTTATTTTCTTCTGTCTATGATATAACCATCTATCAAAGAAATTAAATTAAAATATATTACCATAGAAACGCCTTTTGGTTTTTAGGACTAACCATATTTTCATGTTTTTTTTATTTCCTCTAAAACGGTATGAAAATTTGGTACAGTTTAAACCGGATTAACCATTTTAAAACAAGCAAAAATGAATTTTATGAAGAACGCATTTTTCTCAAAATATCTATAATAAAAAAAGTTTTTTTCCTCTTGTAAAGACAATTCGGGGACACGCTGTATATACCTCGTAAGAGTCGATTTACCATATATTTATAAAGTAACTACACACTCGCAATTTAGTCAAGTCTGTAAGCTATTATAATATGGCTGACGGATCGCATTTAAATATTGCGGAATAGAAATTTTAGGTACCCCCACAAATTTAATTGGTCGAATTGTTGACAGAGCTGACAGACTGTTGGACAAAGCTGACTAGTGATGTATACTACAGAAATGAAGATAATATATCTAATCTAAATATAATCTATTAAAGCTATACGACGGTATACCCAGATTTTATTTAACTACCCGTTGGTTATTTACCCACCGCTATCGCTATCACTAGAGCTGAAACACAGTTTGAAATGTAGATGAAATAAATGCGTATGTTTAAGATGTCGATAAACTAAACTTGCATAATACAATATAAATACATAAAAACAATAATACGTATAAAAAGTAACATGCCTGTAACACCTGTACTATTGCTGTATTAAATCTTTAACAAATTGTAAATAAAAACAAAACCAATAAAATATATTCAATGTTATTATCCTGACGACCCTTCAGAGTTGGCATTTGGTGGATTTCGCGCCACATTAGTCGCCAAATTATGTTTTAGTTTCCTTGACTTTATTATGTTCTCGTTTTGGTTAGGTTATGTTATACCAATTTGACCATGGTTATACCAATTTGAAGTCTTATTATACCTCTAGTAGTCGCTACTTTGCGACAACTAATTTTTGTAGGCTGCACTTTAATGTTCAAGATATTACCACAGATTAGGTATCCTATAAGTATACAGATAAAAATCTTGTCCCTAATTCGTGGTACGAAAATTGTTTTTTATGACGATGTGCAAACGAGTAAAATTTCCTGTGCGCAAAAATAAACTCGCGTAAAATAACAATAAACAGCGTAATAGAGAGATATCGCTAAACCGAATAGCGTGCATGGACGTTAATAAGGCCAGGTGTTATTTCCTTTACGTGAGGTGGTATTAACTCTCTTCATTTATAGTGATCGAATCGGAAAGAATTCTGATCGCGTCGCGTCCGCTATTTAAACTTAACCTAACTTTGAATTTAAAACTTTGAAATTGTTTTGTTTACTAGGTATTTTAAAACTAAAGGGCTAAAGTGCTTATTTCTAGTGCTTTATTGTTCAACGTCTGCCAGTGGGTTTAGGGCAACAAGCAACAAATTCTCTTAGAAGGGCTAAGTCGTCATCTGCTGTAAACCTAAGACTCTTTATAGGTTCTTTAGTATTGGAAGAGGTGGAATCCATATATTGGGCCATATTTATTTAATTAAAACTAATCCCAGCTACTTAAATATCAAATTACCTAATAAAACTAAAGCAATAATTCAAAACAATTCAAACATAACCTAAAATGCACATGCCCATTTAAGCAATTTTTAAACGTTATCAGAGGTTATTTAGAAAGAGCGCTTGGTATAATTGATCCGCAAATTACGTCAGGCGGTAACGTTATTACCGGGTGTTGCGTTAAAAATTGACTCGCGCATATCGTAACCATGATAAGGTACGCGTATGACGCTATTCAGTTTTCCGATATCTCTCTAATAACTGTGCCGGTCAGGCGCTGTGCACAATTTTAGAGGCCATAAGTGGGCGTGCTATGTGCGCAAACTAGTCACCTAACTAGTGCCCGATTCCGAAAATTGGAACCACGAAAAACAATAAAGAAAAAACAAAGATTATAATCTGTATAATCTGTGATATTACTGTGAGGAATCGGAACTAAGCTTCCAACACAATTTGAAAATGTCACCTATAATGCTTTCGTTTTATTACATTTTAATCTACAAGAAAAAACCTCGACTTCGTTTCACGAACGGTCGATCTCTGCGTATCGTTATTTTATATCTGTTATTTTTTAAAAGTAGTAACGGTTGCGTTATGTTATTTTAAATAATTATTATAAAATAACAGATAGTTAAATAACAACCCATCACTAACACCCTGTATATTCTTAGATATTTCAATTCTTCCTTCAATTTTAAGCAAAATTTGAAAAACATAATGTACCTAAATCCATCCGTTTCCGAGATATCGAGTTTTGGTTTTGAAATGTTAGACGAAATTTTGTAATTTCCAGAGTTGATAAAATATCATTTTATACATCTATAAATGCTACCTTGAAAACTAATGTCAAATATTATTAAGTATCACAGTTTCCGCAGAATGGCATCGTTAAATGAAACCGACACATCGAATTAATCAAATCGAATTGTTTAAGTGATATTTTCAAAAGTCAGTAACTCGGAAATGGTTGGTTTGAGGTACATTGTGTTATCTCTATTTTCGCTTAGAATTGGAGGAAGAATTGAAATATGCAATAATATAGAGGGGTTCCATTTAAAAAAATGAAACTTTGATGTGCTACGACTTTATGACCGACCCTGTATACTTAAATTTATTAGTCGCCAATAGACATTTAAAAACCCTATCATTTTTATATTAAACTTTTTCCGGCATCTCGTATATTTTACCCAATAATCGACCGTTTCCAAAAAAAAGCGCCAATGTATGGCAACATTCCGGTCTGTATTTCAGCACTGTTTCAACACTAGTATAGATTTATGCACTCAGCGTTTCACTGGCGAAACGAATTCAATTCTACAGGATTCTACCAATTAAATTTGCTCTTATATGTAATTATTCTATACCGGAATATTTAAATGCTCACGGATTGCGGTTTGGAATTCCCGAAAATGAGCGAAAATAATGCGTTAATTTGAATTATTTTATTTTTTTTTATACAATAATCTGATGATACTTTATAAAATGAAAACTAATCAGTATATTTTAATTTATTGTTTGCAAAATACAGGAAATTAAGAATTTTTAAAAAAAGACAAAAGATTTATACAAAAATATCTTAATATTCTCAATATTGATACCAACTTTCCATATCTGCCTATTTGATTGCTATACATATTTATCGATGAAATATGCAAACGAAATGTTTCAGATAACACAAGAAAATGTGGTCAGAGATTAGTCGGCGACGTAGCTTACAACGAAGCTAAAGAGGTAGCTTCCTACATAACTCCTGTTCCTGGTGGTGTTGGTCCTATGACTGTAGCTATGTTGATAAGCAACACAGTCCAAAGCGCTAAAAGGGCTGTAGATTATCTGTCTAGATCAGTATGGAACCTAAGACCTTTACCATTAACTTTAAAAACACCGGTACCTAGGTATGTATTGTACACCCTATTTAAATCAATAACTTTGTAGGGAAACGCAAAAAATTAAAAAAATTATAGAAAATAAGAACTTATTTAAAAAAAAACACTTTCTGATTTTTTCAGGCATTACCTGACTTTTTTTGGTATATTTACTGATTATTTTTAGTGACATTGAGATAGCTAGGGCCCAAGTGCCTAAAAATATGACTGAATTGACAGAAGAAATTGGTTTATTACCCAGCGAGGTGTCACAGTATGGTACTAAGAAAGCCAAAGTGTCACTGTCAGTACTGGATAGACTGAAAGACGAACCCAATGGAAAATACGTAGTTATTACCGCGTAAGTGAATCAATTATTTTATGTTTACAATTCCTGAGTCACTGCTGGTTTAAGGAAATGTTTTGATCATAGAAAAATTTTAATTTCTTCTCCTTAGCATTACTCCCACGCCTTTTGGCGAAGGCAAAAGCACCACAATGATGGGTTTAGCCCAAGCTTTATCAACCAAACTCAAATTAAACGTTTTTGCAACTATGAGACAACCCTCTCAAGGACCTACATTTGGAATAAAAGGTAACATATTCCTCTCATACATCCCCACTAATATTCAAAATTACTTTTTTATCAGGAGGTGCAGCTGGAGGTGGTTATTCTCAGGTTATACCTATGGAGGACATGAATCTCCACTTAACAGGTGACATTCACGCTATAACTGCGGCAAATAACTTACTAGCTGCCCAGTTAGACGCCAGGATCTTCCATGAATTCACTCAGAAAGATCAAGCTTTATATGACAGACTGGTTCCCAAAATTAAAGGAATCAGAAAATTCTCCTCAATACAGCTGAGGAGGTTAAAAAGATTGGGAATAGATAAGACTGATCCTGATAGCTTAACTTCTGAAGAAAAAAGCAAATTTGCCAGGTTAGACATTGATCCAAACCACGTGATATGGACCAGGGTGCTGGATATCAATGACAGATACCTTAGAGAAGTTACAGTGGGTGAATCCCCAACTGAAAAAGGCTATACAAGGAAAACTGGGTTCATGATCACTGTAGCTAGCGAAATAATGGCTATCCTCGCTTTAGCCAATGATATGAGCGATTTTAAAGAACGCCTATCGAAAATGGTGGTGGCATTTGACAGAAAAGGTGCTCCAGTGACTGCAGATGATCTAGGAATGACCGGAGCATTGCTGGTGTTGCTCAAGGATAGTGTAGAACCCACTCTACTTCAGACCTTGGAAGGTTCTCCTGTTTTTGTACACGCGGGGCCATTTGCAAACATCGCTCATGGGGCTAATTCAATCCTGGCGGATAAAATAGCTTTGAAATTAGTTGGAGAACAGGGAATTGTTCTAACTGAGGCAGGTTTTGCTTCAGATATTGGTAAGTTTTTGCACAGAAGCCTATGTAGCCTATAAAATTATATACAGAAGCCTGTAGGCTTGGTGCATTCTCCGCCGGTACTGCTATCATCGGAGAATATCGTAAACAACTAGTATATACAAATACACGGGTTTAAATAGCGAGTATACGAAAAATGTATTATATCATTATTCTAAAAGTGTTAGGAAGTATAATTTGTGAAAATTCTAAAAATAAAAATGTAAATATTTTGATATCTTCAGAAGACCTTCACTTCTTATTATTGCAGCCAAAAAAATATTTTAGATGAGTTCAACTATGGTAGCCAGTATAGTTTTAATCACCGGTTTTGCTAGTGGGGTTATAATTGGGGCTATTTCGGCTATAACGAAATTTTTTAAAGGTACAAAATTATATTTTTAGAAGATGTTCATAAAACATTTAATCACTAGTCGATTAAAAAAGGTATACCATTAATATTGCAAATTATATTTTATCCTCTCATAGTATATGTCTATTTAATTTTTTGATTATTGTAACGAGCACTTTGTTTACTCACTTGTTTCGTCGAACTGCTTGAATCCATTTTTGCTTTTAATCAAATTGGTGTGAGAAACTATGAAGCTATAGTAAACGCCACGAATGTTTGGGAGTGATTAATCGCTTGAGTTAGAATCGACACGCGCGCTATCATTTTTACATTAAAAACGCATATCGTAAATTTTTACCGCAGACGTAGGTTTTTAAAAGCCCGGTCTAATCATCTGCCTGCGCTCCTCCCAAGGACTGTATATATTCTAAAGGACTGTTCGATCGCGTAAAATCGCCGCTGTCGTAGTCGCCGTGATGCTTACGTCACGCAGGGACCAGCGCTCCACAGTGCGGCGGATGGTTATTCTAGCGGAGCGATGTTTGGGACTTAAAATCTAAGAACCTTGTAGCAAAGAGTCTAATACATAGCAACCATATGGTTAAATTTATTTATTTATTAACAACTTATAAAAAAGTCAGGGCCTCAAGGCCAAGTCCGAAGGCCGGACCTTTCCGTGTATGGGCAGCTATTAATTTTTTAAACTCAGTGCCTTTAGATGGAGTTAAGGTTTCAACAATTACAGCGCAGCATCCTTACTCCCACTAGCCCTAAAGCTCATAGTACTTGCAAAACCCAATTCTTCCTTTGAATGCTTTTCAATTAACCCTTTTAATTTTGTTTTTATCCGATATCCGATTGAAATGAAACTTTTGAGCATTCAACTGTTAAGCTTGAACTCCTTGTGACTGTGACTACCTGTGTTGGTAACTATTGGTAACTCAAAAAATCTACATCATTCAATATATCAATATTTCAAAAAGTGAAAGTTTGATATCTGCAGAACAAAGGCACGAAGGATTTTAACAAATAATATACCTACAATAGAAAAGTACATACCTTTGGCAATCTCCAACATAATTTAGCTTTGGAATAAAATGTATAAGCACTTTTAAATATATTGTTTTCGTATAACCTCTGCCTTGCTGAGCAGAAAACGATCAAATTTGGTTGATAAAAATGTATCGAAATCCAATGTATCGAAATCCACAAAAAATATATACGACCAAAAAATAATTCATGTATTTTTATATCAATTGGAATGTACCATTTATTCTTATCAGTACACATTTTTGGCTTATTTCTAACCAAACTTTTTTGTCCCGCTAGATTTACCTTCCACCGCACTGTGCGGTCGTCCGTTAAACTCAAAAATAACTGTCACTGTCTAAAATCTTTAGCGCGAACTTCAACTCGGTTCCTAGATAACGTAAAAAAACTGACAGTACAGGAAGATAGGAATCGAACTATCCTTATCTCTATAGTATCCTGTAATCGGGACGCCGCGGCGGCGTGAAATACATACTGATAATTTCTGATTTCTGCCGTTGAAGCGCTGCAGTCGGAAATTGTTGAAATCCACTGAAATGCACCAAGCCTATACAGGGTCCAGCAATAGTGCGTCGGGCATCTGTAGCTCCTAGAATAAAGAACTTGAGAATTTTGTTCAAATGCAAACCTAAAGTATGTACCAGGATGTATTTCAGGAAAATATTTTAACTTCTATAGGGTGGCTCAAAAAAGTGTGAGTGGATCGGGATGATTTTTTTTAATGGAACACCCTGTATATTATTGCATTTTTGGCTTCCTTTCAGATGACTTTACATAACCCTAAGATATGAATAAATATATTTCAATAGTTTCAGAGATATTAAAAAATAAATCAAAAATATATATTTTATTTTCCTGAAACACATCCTGGTACATACTTTAGGTTTGCACTTAAACAAAATTCTCAAGTTTTTTATTCTAGGAGCTACAGATGCCCGACGCACTATTGCTGGACCCTGTATAGAATTACCTATACAGAACCAACAGAACTATACAACAGTAACCTTATAATTTTAATGACGCTGACGCCGGCGCGGCGCCGCGCCGGTTGTCAATTTTTGATTAGTTGATGTTTAATATCAGGAATTTCAAATTAGTAAAACTTTGGAAAACCCTGTTATCAGTTAATGATTATTGTAAAAATTTAGTTTAATTTCATATATTTGGTGATTTTATTGATATTTTTTTTTTCTTATTTTGTGTAGAAATCAAAATTTCTGCCTAAATAATTGAAAGAATAGATTGGGAAAGAAGAGACTTTTTTGACGGATTTTGACTAATTTGAGAAAAACTGTATCTATTTTTAAATTAAAATTTAACAGGTAACAAGCAAACACCAGTCAAAAAAACCGTCATACCTTAAATTGTCAACGTCATTTTCAAACGTAACTTAATTTCAATATTCAGTACTATACTCTGTTTTTTTTCTCAGGTAAGATTTCGACAGACGATGACAGAAAAAAAGCAGATGACTTCCATACCAATCCGTTTATTTCACTAAAAAAAATTTCTAATATTTTTAAGTTAACTATGGATGGGTTTATAAATAAATACGTCATGCGTCTTCTCTTGTTGTTTTTAACCAGTTTGATTGGTTTATTTCAAAAATGACAGATCATATTTCAATATTATTGGTTTGACGCAACGATGAACGACAAACGGACGCTTATGCGTATGAACTCGACTTAAGATTTTTGAGAGTTGTCAAACTCTTGGCAAATTATAGGTTATAATTTTGTGTCAAATTATGTCAAATAGAAATGATAAATATTTTGCATTTTGCATTTTGGACTGTGTTGTTACTTGTGTTTCGTGTTTTTTAAAATTAAGTGGAGGAAAACTCGAGGAAAAATTAAGTGTTGACTCAGACCATAGTTTACAGTTAATATTCGGTGCACAGAGACCGCCAGAGATACAGTTTGCCAGAGACTATAGTCAAAGAGTTGTATTAGCCACAAATAAAGTTGTATACCATCTCATACATGGTACCAAAAACTGGAGTATCTGTAAAATAACATCACACGATAGGTAAATAATACATTTTAGTACTGCAGAAAAAAATTAAATTAAAGTTAATTAACCAAGATTAAATTTTTTTAGTTTCATACAGTTTTTTTCACAATATTTTGATGTAATCACTTGTCACTCAAAATTTAAATATATTATGAGTGCCAATTGGACCAACTTATTTCTTTGTAAAATAAAATAAACTACTTTGAAATTAAAATGACAGACACATATATAGCTGTCAAGGATCTTGTCGTTGGATAGACTATATTCTGTTTTAATATAAAAATAGATGCAATCTTTCTTAAATTACTCATAAATCGGCCGGTTCAAAATTGAAATTTGGCATGTGTATTTACCATCCATAAACCTTTAAAAAGTGTATTTATTACTTTGTGAAGTTTTGTTTTTACCTGACCTAACCAACTGTAAAATCTATAGGGGAGCCAATATTTGAACAGTTTAAAATTTCCATGGGATTTCCTGTTTCCAACGACGAGGGGTGTCTCAAATTGCAAAAATTTCAAAAATACCTTGTAGCTCAGAAACGAAGAGGGCTAAGAACATGTTGTTTACAACATCTTCCATTTGATAAAAAGGTGGGACAGGTTTGTGCAAACCGCTTTCTTCTATCTTCAATAATATCGGAGATACCGTATGATTTCAACCAAAATAGGACACCCTGGACAACTAAACTTATTTTTCCAAATACATACGTTTTCAAAATACATACGTAAAAATATCGGACACATCCTTACTGTCGTTTCTGTATAGCTGAGGTATTCTGCGAGGTTAATTTATAAAACGATTAAAAGATATCGATCGAAGAAATCAATTAAATAAATCAAATTCAGGTTTAAATTAATGCGCTTAGAGAACTAAGTAAATATAGATGCGCCAAAACCGGTAAATAAAATTGGTTTGTAAGCAATCGATTCTTTTCAAATGTAGGTATGGAAAAGTTCTTTAATATCAAGTGCCGCACTTCCGGTATTACCCCGAACGCTGTCGTTTTGGTGGCTACGATTAGGGCTACCAAAATGCACGGAGGGGGCCCGCCAGTGACACCTGGGGCTCCATTACCACCAGAATACGTCAACGAGAATTTAGAACTGGTCCGAGAAGGTTTGGGCAACGTTAGCAAGCACATAAGTAATGGTATTAAATATGGAGTTCCAGTAGTGGTAGCTCTGAATCATCATACGTAAGTAGAGTATCATAGAAAGAAAATATTAATAAAAATTTAATCAATAATTATTATTTCTAGAGATGAGCAAAATTGCGATTCTCCAATTATTGCAGTTGGAACTGAGATAGCGATTTTTAAATCGCTGCGACTGTAACCTGTGATTGCTATTTTAATATATTGTACTAGATATATAATTGTCTGTGTATGTACAGGGTATCCCACTAAGAATAGTTCTCGGCTGTATCTCGGAAAGTATTAGCCGTAGCGGCTACGAAAAAAAAAAAAAAAAAAAAAATATATATATATATATATATATATATATATATATATATATATATATATATATATATATATATATATATATATATATATATATATATATATATATATATATATATATATATATAATATATATATAACTAAAGAGGCTATGGGAAATTGCTGAAAATTATTTTCAAGTTTGTAGAACGACCGCTAGGGGGCGCAACTGCAAAAAAATAAGTAAATGGTGTTTTTACACAATTTTGCCTAGATAAGGTGTACTATAAGTAACAGTTTCATAATATTCAGTAAATTTTGAAGAGCCATTTTCCCCTATCTACCAAAATAAAGTGGTGGGGGAAGTTTAGATCTATTTTTATTTTAATATTAATAACTCTGTACTGGATAACTCTGGATATAAACAATAATAATAAGCTTTTGAACGTAGACGCTAGGGGGCGTTGTCTTACAATTTAACAAACATTGCGCGTTTTTTCAAAAAAATTAAATGCAACAGTATATGTAATTTTAGCTGATACTGTCAGCGAAAACCGCACCTTGATATCTTTCAAACCAAAGATATTAGCAAAATTATAATAAATACCAAAAAATAAGCCCTTAATTACCTTATTTTTACAACACGGTATCAGTAGCACTCTTGATTATGCCCATTCTAATCTAAAAATAAGATAGAAACAGTTAGTTTATTTTAAAATCGACGATATACCAGAATATCATAATATCAGATGTATTAATATCTAATAATTAAGATATTAATAATAGTGAACAAGAAACGATGATTCAGTGAAGTCATGGTAGGCTTTGGAAAAAGTTGCTTTTGACGTAATAGTATAAACGTCAAATTGTTATTAGATAAACATTTTGATAGTCTTAGCAGCGTTTTTTTATCTTTTATTTGCTTTTTCAAAATGCCTTTATTATTTTATTATTTGAAGCAGTTGAAATTGTTGGCATTTTGAAGAAGCAATCAAAATATAAAAAACGCTGCTAAGACTATCAAAATGTTTATCTAATAACAATTTGACGTTTATACTATTACGTCAAAAGCAACTTTTTTCCAAAGCCTTCACTGAATCATCGTTTCTTGTTCACTTTTATTAATATCTTAATTATTAGATATTAATACATCTGGTATTATGGTATTCTGGTATTTCGTCGATTATAAAATAAACTAACTGTTTCTATCTTATTTTTGTGTTAGAATGGGCCTAATCAAGAGGGCTACTGATACTGTATTGTAAAAATAAGGTAATTAATGGCTTATTTTTTGGTATTTATTATAATTTTGCTAATATCTTCGGTTTGAAAGAAGATATCAAGATGCGGTTTTTGGCTGACTTTTTAAGCTTTTACTGCTCTTTACTATCAGCTAAAATAACACATACTATCGTATTTAATTTTTTTGAAAAAACGCGCTGTTTGTTAAATTGTAAGAAAGCGCCCCCTAGCGTCGATGTACAAAACCTTATTATTATTTTTTTTATGTATAATATAGAGTAAGAAACGCTCTTTTAAACGAGCCCTCGTTTGTTGGATTCTGATCATCCAGTCCGGAGTTATTAACATTTAAATAAAGATAGATCTAACCTTCCTCCACCACTTTATTTTAGCAGATAGGGGAAAATGGTTCTAACAAAAAAAATCCAAAATTTACTGAAGATTATGAGGCTATTATTTATAGTACCCATTATCTAGGCAAAATTCTGTAAAAAAATTATTTTCTTATTTTCCATAGCAGTTGCGCCACATAGCGGCCATTTTACAAACTTGAAAATAATTTCCAACAATTTCTCATAGTCCCTTTAGTTATAAATATTTTTTTCCGTAAGGCTAATACTTTCCGAGATACAGCCGAGAGCTATTCTTAATGGGACACCCGGTACCTATAGCTAACAATTAGTTGTTTAGTTTTCAAGTTTTTTTAACATCTGCAACACATATTATAGGTATTAAAACTTTATAGGTATATATGCTGCAACTACATATACCTAGTCTCTCTAGGGTTCTAATTATCTAATTGGTTATCCAGTTTTTAAAAAATCTAAAAGAATATTTTTTTTTAAGTTGGCTCACCCCTATAATTTTTTTATTTCTTCAGATAAAGAAACGAGATTTGGTACTTTAGCAATATGACATAAATCACGATTAATTGACGTATCCAATTAGTTTGTATTCAATACTGCCGTAAATGACTACAACTTTTGATTTTTTAATCCTCGGTATTTTTATTACTTTTTTCGATAGAAAATGACACTCTGAATAGAATGACATATCATATATCAACTTTTGACATTTTCGCATATGAAAATATGCGAAATATTAATTGGAAATTGTAAAGGTGCGTTCACACCGGCTGCGCCGCTTCGCTCCGCGCCGCGCTAATAATTTTTTGAACATATACTTATAACATATACTTTTGTGCCCGCTAAAATAAATACACTTCAAAAGTACACGTTAAATTTTTTTTTGCGCGGCGCAGTCGTTTTGAACGCACCTTAACGTGCGGTTCATAACGACAATTTGACTCGGCATGTACTAAGTTTGTGGTATCAAATTATTTATATAAAAACCTTTTTCTAAATATGCTAATGAGCCACCCTCGTTCCATTTGAAAAAATTGAGATATGATTACAAATACTATTTGGGCATCTTTTAATCGACCAGGACAACGCACGAGAAAAATAGACGACCAAACCTATTTTTCCAAGGCTCCTTGATTAAAAATTAGTGGTTTTAACACAGCTATGGCAACCTAGATTGATACTTAAAATACGATTTTTTAAGTGAAAATGTCAAAAATTGGCATATGACATACCATTCTATTCAGTGTCATTTTCTATCAACTAAAGTAAAAAATGCCGAGGTTGCCATTTAAAAATCAAAAGTTGTAGTCATTTCCGGTGACACAGGAAGTGATTGAAACGAACTGAATACCGTCAGTCAATCCTAATTTATGTCATATACTACCAACTAAAAATTCAAACTCGCAGATAGAAGGTTAAATCACGCTCTTAATTTACAAAATCACTATTGCAGCAAAATCGCAAATCGCAGCTATAGTAATATTGGTTGCCTAAAGTGAAACTCGCAAATAGAAGAAATCGCAGTCGTCGTTTCCTATGAGAGCCAGTTGCAGGTTGCGATTTTAAAATCGCTGCGATTCAATCGCAGCTTGCGATTTTTTGCTCATTTCTAATTATTTCTAATTTATTTCTTTTTAGAAACGATACAGATGCAGAAGTACAACTATTTATAGAAGAATGCAAAAAAGCTGGTGCTTCTGATGTGGTATTATCGAAGCACTGGACCATGGGTAGCGACGGGGCCGAGGACTTAGCTAAAGCATTAGTCAAGGCTGTAAATCAACCTAGTGCTTTTAGGTTTCTGTATGATTTGAATTTGAGCTTGAAGGAAAAAATCGATATCATAGCTAGAGAAATGTATGGTGCAGGAAATGTATCCTACACGCAGACAGCCGAAGAAAAACTCCAGAAATATGAACAACAGGTTTGGAAAATTAAATTGCATAATATTACAATCAAAGAGAGATATGTAATTAGAAAGAAATTATTTTTCGTAATGATTTATTTTTGTGTGAATAATTTACTTTTGATTTTCTCATATTCAGGGCTATGGAAAATTCCCTATTTGCATGGCAAAAACTCAACTATCTCTTTCTGGCAACCCAGCCCTTAAAGGAGCACCCACTGGATTTACTTTAGATGTCAAAGACGTTTCTGTATCAGCAGGCGCAGGATTTGTTGTACCTTTGACTGGCGAAGTAAGTTTTTTTTATAGATTCCTATTTTATACAGGGTGTCCCAATATTCCGTGGACATAATTTCGAACTACTAGGTATTTTTGGAATCAAAATAAGTTCATTGGACACAAGTGCTTTAACATTTGGCTTTCACAAAAATCAAGAAAAAGTACGGGAAGGGTGAAAATTACCCCCACCCCTACATAAATTTTAGTATAAATATTTTTTAACTCCACCTATGACAGATTTTCTTTGAGTATTTACTACATTTTTTCTCTCTTACAAAAAACGCTACATCACATAGTTTTTGGGAAATAATTTTTTGGAGTATTTTTTTTTCCAAAGCAGACAAAATATACAGGGAATTCCAATATTCCGTGAACATAGAACCACAACGTATTTTTGGATCAAGATAGGTTAATTGCACATAATTTACCTTTATACAAAAATGCTTTGTTTGTCTGTTACAGGCCATCAATTATAAACCAAAACGTTAATTAATTTAAATATTATTTATTTTTATAAGATTTTTATGAATCTTGTTATATATAATTTGTGATACTAACATAAAATTCCATATTTTCGCCAACTAAATTATTAGAGCATAATAGATTTTGTGTCTCCATAGCTTGATGGGACAAAACATTTTTTTGGAAGACAGCTTTGGAAAAGTAATTTTTCTCCTCAAAAAGTATGCATGGTGGCGTTTTTTTACAAGATACATAAAATGTAGTAAATACTAGAGCCGTCTAGGCCGTCGGTGGAGTTGGAAAATATTTATACTAAAATTTATGTAGGGGTGGGGGTAGTTTTCACCCGTATATCACCCGTAATTTTGCTTCATTTTTGTGAAAGTCAAATGTTAGAGCACTTAGCAAAACATTGACACCAAAAATCTTATTCAAATCGAAAAAACGGTTCTTAAAATATCGGAAAAAATATGTTTATTTTTTTAAAGTTTGATGTCCTCCAGCGGACAAAGCAGTTTTGTATAGAGGTAAATTGTGTCCATTGAACTTATTTTCATTCCAAAAATAAGTTCTATCTCCACGGAATATTGGGACACCCTGTATATGGAGTAAGAGAAAATTCTATGTTATAAGTATAGGAATGTACATAATATGTTTCTTTTCTCATAAATTAATTTAATTTTAGATTACCAAAATCCCTGGATTACCAACTAGACCAGCAATTTACGATATTGATCTAAATATAGAAACTGGAGAAATTGAAGGACTTTTCTAATATAACTTTTGATGTGTTTGTTGACTAAGTGGATAATCCAAAAAATATCATTGTCCTAGTTCTTAATTTTTATATGATTGTATATATATGATTATATATTGTATAGTTTTTTAATATACGAAATAAAAAAATATATATTTTATCTAATTTTTATTGCTGCTCTTAACTTAGCTGACCTACTCCTATTATTTGTTTCTATTTCCTCAATACTAGGCACTAGGACACTTTTATGTAACATATTCCATTTCATTTGCATTATATTGTGAACTGCATCTCTACCCAAATTAAAATTGTAATTACTTAGTTTCAAAGGCAATGGGTTGGCACTATTCTCAATTAGATTACCCATAAGGTGTCTTTTTACTATGGTATCCTCCAAAGAATGAAACGTGATAGTCACTAACCTGCCACCAAGTTTAAGGTAATAATCAGCTAATATAAGGCCATAGTTAATTTCATTTAATTCATTATTTACAAAAATCCTTAAGGCTTGAAATGTTTTTGTGGCTACATGGCTTTTTTTGTGCAGTTTTTCACCATCAAAATTTTCGGTAATAACTGTCTCAACCAAATCAGCTAACTCTTCAGTTGTGGTGAGTTTCTTGAAAAGGTACCTAGAGTCTACAACAGCTCTAGCTATTTTTCTTGCTTGTGATTCTTGGCCGTAATACTTTATTATTTTGTATAGGTGTTCTTCAGTAGCTCTTGATAAAACATCTGCAGCTGTTGGTATACCTGCATTAAAAAAATATTACAAGAATTGTAATTAAAATAGACGTGACTTACTAGGGTCTCTATCACCATCCATTCTCATATCTAGAGGGCCATTTTTTGATATAGAGAAACCTCTATGTGCCAAATCAAACTGCATAGATGAACATCCAAAATCAAACAATATTCCATCAAGTGAATTTTTTCTAAAATTTTTTTCTTTCAATAAAACTGGCAAATCTGAAAATTTTCCTAATAACGGTATAATTCTTCCGGGATATTCCTCTAATAATTTACAAGCATATGAATAAGCCAGGGGATCTCTATCTAAAGCTATAATTTTTACATTAGGTTCTTGGTCTAATATTTTTCTAGAATGTCCCCCACTGCCAAAAGTCATATCTAATATGACTTGCTCTTTATCTGGTTGCATGTACTCTAATACTTTTTCTGCCATGACAGGTATATGAGGGACATCTTTTATATTAATTCTACTGATTGCTATCGTATTTGATAATTTTCTAATGACAGGTATATATCTAAAAGAACTCATTTTGTTATTTTTCTTTCCTTGAGAACAATCTACTAAAGATGGACTCCTCCTCTCTTTTAAGATCCTCTAAAACTTCGTTAGACAATGCAAGATGACACTGTTCTGCAGTTAGTCCGGTTGATGAAGAGGAATATATCCTAGGGTACTTTGTTTTACTAACGTTATTGACTAGTTTTTGTATGGCAATGTACTGTTGATCCCAGTATTTGTAGTTTGATTCGAATTTATTTTCTTTGTAAGAATTTTTAACGTATTCTTCTAAAAATTCTCTGTAATCTCTAAGTTAAGAATTTAATATGATAAAATGACAAAACTATGGGTAAAAGTTACCTGCCACCAGCTTTACTTTTGTCAATTGGCCACTTCTCTAAAATTTGTAAAATACGTTTAAAACACCCCGCTGCGAACAAATCTGAAGTTGTCTCTGAAACTGAAATCTGTCAATTATAAACTGTGAAGTTAGACAATAGTTAGACAAAAACAATGCTGTCCTTGTCTAGGCGGCCATACTTGTCGTGAGGAGAATGACAGGAATGACACTAATGACTGTTTCCAATTTTCCTATTTCACTGTCACCCCCCTGGCGCCAACTATATCTATTCGGTTATTGGTTATGTAATGGAATCTTCTTCTATCGTTGAATTCGTTCCCGTTCTCTACTTTTTTTTTATTGATTTTAAAGGCCTAAGCTACTAGGACTATCCGGCTTATTTGTAGGGTAGGTACCACTCTCGGTTGAATGCTCTGGTTGAGTTTGAGTGTTAATTAAAATCACGCCCTTTGGCCTTTGGCTCATTTTTGGCCACCTAAGACCATTATTATTTTATGCCACACCGGATCCACACCTTTACCTGACTGGGAAAGCTAATTTGAATGGGCAGGGATGAGGCTTATTTTGTGTACGCAGAACCCAAACCGCGGTCCTCGGCTATATTATAACAATGGTCGGTATACCAAATGGTCTACTCTTGGTTAACTGTTCTTGGCTCCACCCTCTGGTTCCACCGTCTTGGCGGGTGTCTAAAATCGGGTATACCCATAGAGAAATATAAAATAACCCCAGGTATACCCTAAATACACTCCATACCTTATCATAATAGGTGGTTAATCGTATCGCCTCTTTCGAGATATACTATCAGGCCCGTCTTCGAGTCGCCAAATATGGATGTTGTATAAACATATATAAATATAAGTGTATCATATATAAATTTATTCTAAATAATACCAAATATTCAAACAATAAAATTGAAACTCCTTTATAATGACATTGACAGTTGTCATTTCCTATTTTGTTGAACTGTCAAACGATAATTTGCCAAAAATTAGTATGCTAAAAGAATTTGCTGCAAGGGTTTTTGGTTGGTATATATTTAGCCCAGACAGCATATGATTTAGGTGCTTGACATTTCTTATTTTTAATTGAAAAACTGTGTACACTGCCGGGACTGAGAGGATAATTTATAAATATGTCCAATTTGATCACTATGGCTAGTAGACGCTTGCCGCGGACAGTTATTAGGACTTTAAACAAATATTTGGATAAAAGTATATCAGAGGTAACGTTAACCGATTGCAATATATGGTGATAAATAAATTTACTTATATAATAATGCATGTTACTTTGCCATATGCACCTCCTTGTGAAAAAATTATGCCACCCATATTATGTAACCTGTAACAATTTCTAGGTACAAATACAGCAAATATTTGGTTATGAGGTAAGAAAACTCTGTAGTTATGGGTTACAATCGGATATTCTTTCAAGGTAAAGTGATTGGTTTTGGTACTTTCATTGAGTTATTGAAGTGGTAATTTCAGTTCACCTAAATCAGTATGCTGTCCAAGTGATAGGTATTTTAGGACATCCTGTTCTCTTCTGGAGAGTCAAACAGTAAAATGTCCCCCCTTTCCCGAATCTGTAACAGAAGGTGATGTAAGGTAAGTTCAAGGTTGGCAGTTGTAGAGCTAGCCAACTTTCCTAGATCTAATTTTTTGTTTGGATGGAAGAATTTAGAAATTAAAGTAAAACTGAAAGGATTGATATTGATTAGCTAATTAAATGTGAACTTTGTAAAATTATTGTTTGTGTATTTTTCCTTTCTATTTTGAAGAGATAAGATATGTTAACGTTTCTGGTTTCTAAAATTAGCATTGTGATTGTTGAAGGATTGAAAAGAAGGTAGGAGATGCTGTGGCCCAGGATGAGGTGGTTATGGAAATTGAAACTGACAAGACATCACAGCCTGTTCACTCACCCAATCATGGTATTATTGAGGAGATTCTTGTAAATGATGGAGATACTGTTAAGGCAGGGCAGCCATTGTTTAAGTTGAAGGTAACAGCAGAAGCACCTGCCAAAGCTGCTCCTGCAGCCAAGGAGGCACCTAAAGCTGTTCCTCCCCCTCCACCATCACAACCAGGTTGGATTTAAATGTATTTGTTTATTTTACTTATTTTATTTTTTTTTATCATAATGTAGATGCGGCTCCACCAAAACCAGCGGCTGCTGCCCCTCCTCCGCCCCCAGCTGCCTCAGCCCCACCTTCACCGCCAGCACCTCCAAAACCAGCAGCACCTTTAAGTTCCATTCCTGTTGCTGCTATAAGACATGCACAGTCTCTTGAAGCAAGTGCCACTGTTAAGGTAACAAACCATTTGCTAGATTTAATACTACATTATAATGGCTCCCACAGACTAATACTTATACTTTTCTGGCTGTTTTACACCATTATCCAGAATATTTTTGGTCATTTATTTCTCAGTTGCCACCTGCAGATCCTACTAAGGAGATTACGGGTACCAGGACAGAACAAAGAGTAAAAATGAACAGGATGAGGTTAAAAATCGCCCAGAGACTTAAAGAAGCCCAGAATGTGAATGCTATGCTCACCACATTTAACGAAATTGATATGTCGTAAGTTTAGGACCAATTTTGCGATTTCTAATTTACTGATAAAAAAATAGCAGCAAATTTTGATGATGATTGCGATGGTTCTGAAATATTTTTTTAATATAGGAATATAATGGAGTTTAGAAAGCAAAACTTGGAGGCGTTTCAAAAGAAGTATGGCATTAAGTTAGGTTTTATGTCAGCTTTCTTGAAAGCCTCTGCGTATGCCCTGCAAGATCAGCCTGTTGTGAATGCCGTAATCGATGGAACCGAAATTATTTACAGAGATTATGTTGATATATCTGTGGCAGTAGCTACTCCAAAAGGACTGGTTGTTCCTGTAGTCAGAAATGTTGAGGGCATGAATTTTGCTGACATTGAATTGGCAATGGCTGCCTTGGGAGAAAAAGCAAGGAAAGGTTAGAAAATAATGTGAATTAACTTATTCTCGGTCATTATATATACAGGGTGGTCCAAATTGTATTCGGGAAACTTCAGCAGTAGTATATTATACAGATAAAATTAAGCAAAAAAGTTTGTATAAATTTATGTCCTAAACTGCTTAGTTTCGGAGATACAGGGTGTTAAAGTTGCATTTTTATTTCAATTTTTTCCAAATAATTTATGAAATACCGTTGATGTTTCGATGAGAATTGGTGTGTGGGAGTTTTTTTCACAAGAAAAATTTGATTTCTATGTCAATATAAATCCTACTTGTAGGGGGCGCCACCTACATATATTTTAACTGGTTTGAAGAGTAATAACTTTTCGTTCGCACTTGTATAAAACTACGGAGTTTTAGCGGAAATATACTTTTTCGCTATTTTTAACGTAAAAAATTGTGTGTGCACTATGCGCGCATATTTGAAGTGAAACTACTTCCATTTGAAGTGACTTACTTCCGTCTGTCTGTCCGTTTGTCTGTCATTGGGTCCCTCTACCCCCGTGCCGAGTTTGGTTCCAATCGATCCATAATTAAGAAAAATCGAGGGTGTCATCCTGTAGCCCGTCCCCAATTATGCCGAAATCGATTCATATTTTTCTTCAATATCAAATCCTTAGTCCCACCCTGATGAAGATGTAAACATAACATTGTATCCAATTTGCAGGGTGGGACACTGTGCACCGTCGCTCACATAGCCTTCCCACCAAATTTGGTCGCGATGACATGGATGGAGGCGATGACATGGATTTTTGACGTTTCTTACGTCAAAACCAACTGTTACAGTGACACGTGTCGTACACGGTAAAGTTGGCCTTGGTTCAGTCTATGGATATACTAAATTTCATATAAATCGGACGATTTTTTGATTTGATTCATTGATGATGGGGTTTCGAAGAGCACGAAACGTCGTCAAAATATCATGAACAAATTGGGCTGGAAAAACTACATCTACATTCCGAGTTTCGACCCCCTAGCTCACATAGTTACAACGCTCCAAGATGAAAAAGTCAAAATTACCACTTTTCCTCTCGCGTTTCGCGTTTCGTGTATCACGGATTGAATTTTTACTCCCATAGCGCTTACAGAAATTTCACTTCAAAAAAGGTCTCTTGATAAAAATCGCTACGAGTAACCTTGAAGCCCTGAGCCGCATTCATCCCACAATTTATGGCTGCAAAAATTTTGTTCGCTTTTTATTACATAGACTGATCGTTCTGTAGTTATTCTGTGATTTATTATTTCGATTCTAAATATCTGAAAGACATTACTTGTAGCGATTTTTACCAAGAGACCTTTTTTACGTAGAAAACGACGGAAATGTATATTTTTTTATTCAGTAGTTTTATACAGGTACGGATGAAAAGTTATTATTCTTCAAACCAGTTAAAACATGTAGGTGGCGCTCTCTACAAGTAGGAATTATATTGATGATATTGAAATTAAATTTTCCATGTCAAAAAACTTCCAGAGTCCAATTTTCATCGAAAAATTGACGTTAGTACAGAAATTATTTTGAAAAAATCAAAATATATATGAAATTTCTACACTCTGATCTCCGAAACGAAGCATTTTAGGACATACATTTAAACAATTTTTTTTACTTATGATTATTTACTGCAGAATATGCTGCTGAAGTTTCCAAAATAAAATTTTGACAACCCTGTTAATAAAATAAATTAACATTTTGTTAGAAAAAAATCCTTAATTATTGTCATCATACTGTAGTATTGGTATTTAGATTGGCATATGAAATAATCATATTTTTGTGATTTTATTACAGGACAAATTGCTGTTGAAGACATGGATGGAGGTACATTCACGGTGAGCAATGGGGGTGTATTTGGTTCACTTTTAGGTACTCCGATCATCAACCCTCCTCAATCTGCCATCTTGGGAATGCATGGGATCTTTGAAAGGCCAATCGCCCTTAAAGGACAGGTACTGATAATTCCTTATTATGCATTTTAAAATAAATTTAATTCTACAAACAATAGACAAAATAGGGATTCAGGGATTTGACATTGATTTTTTCATCATGATCAGGCATTAGACATTTCAGTCTTGATCAGTGTCTGCGCACGGGTCGTTTGGTGGTCGACGCTGAGTCGAAGTGATTGATACTATTATTTACCTACGAAGTAGGGTGGAGGGAGATTCGCTTCCAGTTCGAGACGTTTTCGCTTCGCAAGCAAGATGACCCGTGTGTGGCCGCTCTAAGATTGAAATATTTAAGTTTTTTGGGATTTAAAAAAATAGGATATTGTTCTAAAAGTTTATATATATATTTTTTTATTATAGGTGGTTATCAGACCAATGATGTACGTGGCTTTGACCTATGATCATAGATTAGTAGACGGTCGTGAGGCTGTTCTGTTCCTTCGCAAAATCAAGCAAGCTGTGGAAGACCCGCGCGCCATGTTGGCTGGTCTGTAAAACTGGACCATGGTAAAAAGTCGTTAAGTAAAAAATACAAAGCAACAGAGTTTAAATGAAAAACTAATTAGATTTTTATTGCCAGGAGTGGGGTTGATCTTTGTCATTTTTTTTCAATATTGTTTTCTCGCACCTCTTATGAAACGAACTTCACCGATATTCCCAGCCCTTTGCATACGATATCAGCGGTATTATTTCAATATAGATGATAAATTTATTTCAAAGGATATTGATTTTAGAATATATTATGGAAGTTTTGTGTATTCTGTTAAGTCTTATTTATTTGTTAAAGAAAATTATTTAAAAAATGTGTTTTATTTTTTGTTTCCTAAACATTTAAAGACAAGAAAATAATTTTTAAAGGTAAGTATATAGAGATAATTTCTAGCCTTTCGATTTTGAATCTATTATACGTAATTTTTTCAAAATAACTAGTCCTTCATGACATATAAATTTTATGCAACCAGTAAAACATCTTTCTGTAATGCGGGTTGTATTCCTTTAAAATATTGGTAGATTTTAAATAATATTGGTGGGTAAATTTGAATTAAATTTGTTGAATATATTTTAAAATGAATTTTAAAATTAATAAGCCAATATATTTATTAAGAGCCCTTAGAGTTACCTTGAATTGTTGAATACATCCGAAATAATGTGTATTTATTTTTGTACATACAGCTGCTGAAAAAATGTTAATATTTTTTTTATTATTAAAGAAATGTATTTTTACTAATATTTAAGTTTATTACTTTAAAAGCATTCAAGTTCGCAAAATGTTTTAAAATAAGTCCTCGTTTCTATGGCAACAAAAAGAAAAGCGTCTGTCTGTATGTATTTATTCATGGTATTTATTTATAGTTTTGTGAACTTACCAGTCCATTATTGTTAGATGTTTTCTTCTACTATATTATTCTGTACCTATAAAATAGGTACTATACTAGAGGTACCTAACTCTATTCTTTTTATATTGCAGACCTTATGATATGTGATATATACGTAGATATATCAGCGTGTGTTATTTTTCTTTTGTAATATATTTTATTAAAGTTTCATTTTCGAAATAAAGACACGTTTATTATTATTCTTATTATTATTATTAAATGCCGTCTTCAAATCAGATATTATATCAGATTGATAAATAGACGCTATATCATGGGGTTCTAAAATGTAACCAGATATCCAGAAAGAGCCCTCCTTCGTCTTTGTATGCTCAAAGTTCCATGTAAACTCACTTAAGAGAAAATTGGATCAAGATGCCGACAAAGCATTAATTTATACGCATATCTAGACTCTTTCAAGACAAAGAAGGGGGCCCTTTCACACAGGAAACGAGGCAATTTCTTGTCAATGGAATTGCGTATATAAATTAAGTCCATTTGGAAATACCCGTAAATAAAAATTGGATTTTGTCTGTGTTTTTGACAGGTCAGTTATTTTTTTTAAATAAACGTTGAATCCTATCCTTTCCTATTAACTATATCCAAAAAAAGGTTTAAATTAGTTAAATGAATAATATTTAAGATATTTTTATAAACATTTTTGATATTATGGTAAAAGTATGAATTGGTATTGGCAACACTGCAACTGAGAGTTTTTTGATAGGGAAATTGTAATTTTTAGAAACTAAAATGTGAGTAATAAGTTTAATATGAGTTTAATGATTAATGACAGTTAAATAATTCTTACAGAAAATTTAAGTCAGTTTAAGTCCGCTTGATCATAAAACTTCTTTTAATGCAGTTATTTAACTATTATATCAGTGTATTGTATTGAATTGTGCAGTGAACGGCTCACACATCTTGAACAGTGACCGTGATCGACGGACATTTTCGTAAATGACCGGACTATGACGATATCATTCGATGAAATTGGGTACCTTAACATGATACTTACATTATTGGCTGGGTATTATCGTAAATTCCCAATATTTTTTAACTACATTATTGTCGGTAACAAAGATGTCAGTAACGTGCGTACTCTTATGCTGTTAAAAAAGTGAAGTGTTAAATTACCATTGTTTGCTGTTGGTAAGTTATATAATTGAACAAGTATTTTTTTTATTACTTATTTTTATGTTTTGGTTTCATGGCATCAAATTTAATTTAATGGTCTTCCTAGACCTACGATCACTATTACAATGTACGGCCACGATTCTGTTAATTTAATTTGTATTTCGAAATTTGTGATATACACATGTGTGTATATAAATTTGTGTATAGGGTTGTTCACCACATAGGACACAGAGTATTGTAGCTAAACGATTAGATTTTTACAAATTGTAAGTTTTGGGTTTGTTGAAGGACTATTAGAGCTACAATTTAAAAATATTTTTACAAGATGCAGAGTCTCCCAAATAAGTAAAAAATATTATAGTTGTATTTTTTTAAATGGAATACCCTGTATATTATTCTATTTTTAGATTCTACGATTAAAATAAAGGTAAATTTCAGGTTTATCACATTTAAACTTTACCGTTTTTGAAATATTTTCATTTTTATGAAATTGCAGTAAAAATTTTAAGGCTTCATTTCTTCAGGGGTAAGCAGGGTATCAAAATTTTTAATACTAAATATTTGCTGAAGTTTATTTACTGATCAGATATTGTGTTGCAATAATAAACAAAATACTACCTTATATAGAGTGTCTAAAAATATATATTAAATAATTACTAGCTCTAAACGGCAATAACTTGTTTAATTTAAATGGAACACCTTATATATTTTACGAGAATCAAATGCACAATTTAATTGTCTATCAAGTTGTATTATACCATTTTTTACCTATCTTTTCAAATTTTCGTAGAAAATGCATTTTTTTATAATTTAGACCTCATTTATCACTATACCCATGGAATATTGACATTTTAGATTATTTTTAAAGATGTAACAAATTTTCAAAGAGTACCTGCTACTAATATTGTCAATATAGTTCACTTATTTCATTAAAAAATAAAAAAAAAACTGTTTAAATATTTTTTTTAATAGGTCCAGTTAATATGATCCCAGTATTCAAACTACATTAATTGACTGTTTACGTTGTTTAATAATGATTGCTCCTAATACTAAAAAACTGAATTATGTTTATGACAGTGTCGTAAAAAGTAACACCTTATAAATTTCATTTAATTTTTTGACGAATGCTTATTTATAACTACAGAGAATTTTTTTTTTCGTAACTTATTATCATATTGGTTTCTGAGTTAAATCCACAATTATTTAGAATAATTTATAATACAATTAAGTTTGTAATTAAATAATTTTTGGGTAGTATATTTAATTGGTATACCCTTTTATAAAGATTTAAATACTTTTCCTGTTGTAAACAAATGGGCTTGCAATATTATTATTTTTACCACCTGTACATTTTGTACATTAATTATGTTGCTTTAAAAATTCTAAAATATCAATATTCCATGGTTATCTATAATAGTGATAAATGAGGTCAAAATTATAAGTAAATGCATTTTCTACGAAAACGAAGAGATAGGCAAAAAATGACATAATACAATTTGATAGACAATTAAATTGTACATCTGATACATGTAAAATATACAGGGTGTTCCATTTAAATTAAACAAGTTATTGTCATTTAAAGCTAGTAATTATTTAATATAAATTTTTGGACACTCTGTATAAGGTAGTCTAATGATTATTATTGCAACATAATATCTGATCAATAAATAATTTTCAGTAAATATTTAGTATTAAAAGCTTTGATACCTTTGAAGAAACGAAGCCTTAAAATTTTTACTGCAATTTCATAAAATTGAAAATATTTCAAAAACTGTAAGGTTTAAGTGTCTTAAACCTTAATCAAATTTTTACCTTTATTTCAATCGTAGAATCTAAAAATAGAATAATATAAAGGGTGTTCCATTTAAAAAATACAACTCTAATATTCTTTACTTGTTTGGGACACTCTGTATCCTGTAAAGAAATTTTTAAATTGTAGCTCTATTAGTTCTTCAACGAACCCAAAACTTACAATTTGTAAAAATCTAATCGTTTAGCTACAATACTCCGTATCGTATGTGGTGAACAACCCTGTATATAATCTACAGCGCTGTTGGCTTCTGTATTATATTGAATACTTATGCGAAGATTACATTAAAATTAAATTAAAAAACAGACTTAACTATTATAATAATATAGTAGTAGGTATTTTATTGTATTATCTGATAAAAAAATATTGTGTGTGCACTATGTGCGCATATTTAAAATGAAACTTCTTACGAACAGCTATTAAATTGAAGGATTTGAAGGACATGTTTGAAAAAGTGTAGTTTGAAATATTGAAAAAGTAATAAATTAAAAATTAATAAATAATTTATTTATGGTGCATACAATACACATTTTACATATGGTGCTTACAAATAGGTACACGTCGCGTCACTACGTATTTTAAGATATTGTTGCGAGCCGGTGTGGACTCGACCTAACCTCACAATATGGCCCGCCCTCGGATGACCTTAACATCGCATAGACACCGCAATGATTCATTCGTTCGAGAAGAATCGAGACCCACTAGAATGGACTAGTACATACGAGAACATTCGAAAACCTTCTCTATGCGCCTAACGATCTATGGACTATTCTAGATTTCTTTTGCTGTAGGTATAAAAGCCGGCGGCAGTGGCCTAGAGAGGGCAGTTATAAATATACCAGTGCAGTTGACGCGCGAAAATTCAAAATAAATTCTTAGTTATAAATCGTTTGTAAATAGTTCTATAAGTCTTTTATCGTTATTGTTTTTGTTAATTAGTGTTAAATAAATAGTGTTTAAATAAATTGTGACTTTCTATCCACACGGAACCGACGAAAAACGTAACAATTGGTGTCAAGTGTGGCGTGTGTGATAGACTAGAAAAATAAAAAGACTAACGATGGCTCCAAAAAAATTGAAAGACCTGAAAGTGTCGGAATTAAAAAGCATACTGGAAGAGAGGGAATGCGAGACAGATGGAAAGAAAAGCATTTTGCAAGCCAGACTGAGAGACGTTTTGATTGAGGAAGGTGAGGATCCTGACACATTTTGCTTTGAGTTGGAAGGTGACCTTGACTCGTGCCTACAAAAATTAGAAGACAATTTGAATGACAAAATTACAGAAAATTCCCGGGAATTGCAAGACAATTTAAACGGCAATTTGAATAATTTAGAAGATAAAATGATGAAAAATTCCCAGGATTTAATTAATATTTTAGAAGATAAGATCGCAGAAAATTCTAAAGACATACAGGCCAGCTTTAATAATAAAATACTTAATTTAGAAGAAAGATAACAGAAAATTCCAGGGAATTAGAAGAG